TTTTAGTGTGGGGGAGATCAAAAACCACATTACATAACCATAACACAACTACGCTCAGTAATTTCTTCTGAGAAACGTTTTCTAGAGCTACTGATTCACGGTGCCAGAAATGCACTGCACATTTTCAGTTGTAGAAGGTGCAATAATAAATATTTAGCAGTTGCTTAATGTACTCTTTATGTTGACATTTTTAGCAAAGCACGCAAGTTGGGAATGGAAAACAATCTGACCAAATGATTCCCCTGCATGCAAACCCAACCACTTGGAGCCAGAGCCAGTCTTTCCCTGCACCAACCCCAAATTTCCATCTGAAACTGATGTGTATTCAGTATGCGTGTGTATGCGTTGCATAACTTCAGTAATCCAGCAGAAAGTCCTCTTTTAGCTGCCTAGTTTCATGCGGCCTAAAACTTAAACTCACAGAACCGTAAGTGAAGATTTGAGTTTCTGCATTTTTTTTAGGAGAGCATTGACTTGAGAGTTTTACTTACTAACAAAAGAATACGATGTCTTCCAAAAGTATTCGTAGCCCTTGATCTCGTCCACATGTTTGCACATTCCAGTCAGAAACATCTGTTTATTTGAATTCAGCCGTCTTGAGTCTATACACTATACTATTCCCTTTTTGCTGCAGGTATAGAGGAAAGTCTTTTGGGGTTTCTTCTGGCTGTACTTCAGAAATGGTTGCCATTTTTTTTTTTTTTTTTTTTGCTTTTCTAAACAAAATCTTTTAAGCCTTGATCCCAGCCATCCTGTGCTTGTTCTCTTGTATCAGATTTTCCTCCGGGATTACCCTCCATTTAGCCTCATCCATCTTGATAAAAGAGCTCCCAATGCATGATGCTGCCACTGCCATGCTTTGGTTGCTGATGTAGGCTGATGCTATTTGCCCAGAGCAACTTCTTGCACATAATAGCTTTTGTCTGACCAATCATCCACCCACAAAGCCCAGACTTTTAAAGTACTAAACTGGTAGTTTTTCTGTAAATAGATTCTTCCACCTGAGCTGTGGCTCTCTGCAGCTCCTCAGAGTCCCTGGACCTTTGTTGTTCTATTCCAACTAATCATCTGATCATCTGTCAGTTTAGGTGAACACACATTTTCCAGCAGATGTGCAGCAGTACATACTTGTCGCCTTCATACCTCACTTTTATTCTTTACCTTACACTTCACAACTATGAGCCGATTTGTGATGGCCTGTGTAGAATATCTAAATAATACACTGACGTTTGTGATTGTAATGTGACAAAAGGGGAAACTATTCACACGTCGCAAAGCCCTGTCAACAACAAGATGTTCTAAACCAGGGGTGCCAAAGTCAATTTCAATTTTGTCCACATCAAGATCATGAGTGTCCTCAAAGGAACGACTGAGGCAGAATGCATTAAGAAGGTTAACTAATAACTAAAATACTGTAACTTTCTCTGCATTCAGTCTTTATAAAAAATTTGACATTTAACATTGAAGTCATTTTACATTATAAAAACTGATTTGATTTGACTGATAAAATAACATTTAAGCACACTGTTGTGAAGTTTTATCAAGGAAAGGTTTATCAACAAAAGGGCCACAGAAATAGTTATGGTGGCCGGATGTGGCCTGCAGGCTATGAGTTTGACACACTCGTTCTAAACCGCACTTGGTATGATTGTTGATGAGTGTGAGAAAGCGTTTGATATTTTGGAAGGGACCACTGAACTTTGAATATTGTGGAAAAAAGTTTGGGCTGATTTCTTTAGAGTATTTTTGCACTTCCATTTTGACCTGGTTTTAAGAAGCTAAACTGAATTACGCTCACAATTTACCCAGTGCGTTTTCAAAGAAGCTGCAACGGCTGTGAAACATGGCTATGTGGCTATGGTTAAGAGACGTCTATTTTCTCGGCTGTATTTTTTGGTGTTATGTCACATATGAAGCATGCCTGGAAACTTGTCATCAATCAGTTGCAAATCAAAGGCCACTAAAATGAATCGGGAACACACTGTTTCGGAACCAGTCTTAAAATAGAACAACAGAGCAAGCAAAGTAATAGCTGAAACCACAGTCCTAATTGTCTTCAGGCTTTTCCTGGGCCTCTATAGCTATTGGCTTGCCGGCTCTAGAGCCAGATTGAATTTTTCCTTTGCGGTTGAAGCTGTTTTTGCTATTAACATGAGTGTGATTAAACTGGAGCACTGCTTTCTGTAAATAACCCTGAAGCCTCTTTCACTGATAGACTGACCAGAAGTATTTTGTGTGAAACAGCCAATAAAGGCCTGACTATTTCCTCTTTGTTAAATAATTAATGCAGCCCTCATTTAAAACTGCACACCCATCCTGCCTCTAGTGGAATTCAGAAAGTGACTGAAAGCAGAGGATGCATTGATCTGGACCATCAGCTGCACAACCAAGCAGTTATTCTGTCACAGAACACCTGAAGGAGACCACAGATTTTAATCGGCGGTGATGAGTCTCAGGCCAGAAGTCACCTTGTTTTCAGCAGTAGATGGATACGAGTCTAGTCTTCACATCAGGGAAGCCACAACATATCTGGTTACTCACAGGCTGCCAGCTCGGCTGAAGGGAAATAGCTACTAGTACAAAGTGTTTTTCCCCTCCTCTGCAGATTCCAGTCCATAGGCAAACTAGCCATTATTACCTCACTATCATTAGTGGTTGTGCTGTTTTTGACTTTTGGGCGGGGAAAACACTTACATAACGATTAAACACAATGACTAAGAGTACGAAATGTGTCTTTTTCAAGTCTGATGAGACGACCTCAAGTTGCTTATTTTTGCAGGAGGAACCATGTGTGGCTAACTGCGCTGCAGTGTCAGGTAAAAGTATTCATATTTTGTCAGAAACAGTTTTGTTTTGACATGTGAAAGATCAACACAAAGGAAACTTTGTGTTGATTCTTTTCAAATCGTTCAAATATGGAAAAGATGGCGTGTCTTTTTTAATCGGGCACCCCCAAATGTTATGAAACTCACTGAAACCACATAAATAGAGATTATCTGCATATCATATAAAATCAACATGAATGCAGTCGTTCAGTTTGTTCAAGAACAAACACCATTAAGACGAACAAGGAACACAGCAGACATGTCTGGGATAAAAGCTGTGGAGAATTTTAAAGCAGGGTTGCCTTATAGCATTTGTCAGATATTGGGACAACTCTCAATTAAGAATCTTTCACAGATGTTGAAAGAAAATCAAAAGTATTCCCTGCACGGTTGCTCACAATCCATTTAGGACACATGTGTGACAAGGGGTGCTTTAGTAATGCGAGACTAAATTTGAGCTTTTCTGACATACATGCTATGTGTGGAATAAAGCCAACACACTGAAAACACCATGTCCAGCAGCATAATGCTGTGGTCATGCTTTGCCTTAGCAGGGGCAGGTGATGTAATCAGAGCAGATGGCAAGATGGATGGAGACTGGGAGAAAAATATGGCAGAGGCTGTAAAAGACTTAAAATAGGCCCAAAGAAATTAACACAAGAAATTCCTTCTGTGATGCGTTTAGAAATTTGTAAGCATTTTAAAAATATGTTTAAAATGTTTACTTCAGGATAAACATTAGAGGGATTTCATGTCTCATCCTATTAAGTGTCCTCCAGCAAAAACGGGTCAAATTTAAGTGTTAGCTTGTGAAAGCTTAACTTACACCTATTTGGGTTTCATGAAGACGACAGGACAAACTGTATACAATTTGTTAGCAGTTAAAAAAAAAATAATGCATCATCTCATTATGGTAGCATTATGAGCCAAAGACCAACAACATGATACATTATGTAAACATACGGTTTATTGCAACTGTGCAGTTGTATCCAAAAATTACAGTGGTCAACTGTTTCAGGGATACTTTATAGCAACAAAATCGTAATTTTTACAAAACAAACAAAATTTAGCACTAGCTACGAAGAAGACTTCTCCCTGTGAAGTTTTACACATGGTCCTCATTTGGTTAGCTTTTGTTGTCGTATGAAAATACGTCTTTGGTAGCTGGGAAAAAAACAAAAAAACGACAACCAAAGTCTTGTCAGAAATGCGATCATTGCTCACAGGCACTGTTGTCGTGCCATTGTTTTCAAGTTGCCATCTGAATAAGGAAGGAGACCATATACTGGACGGCACTACCTACAAACAAAAGGAGTGCATAGGCTGCTAGAAACGCAGCTGTCTGCTTGCAAACCATCCTAACAATATTTACCTCAGAGACATTTCATCTATTTGTACATTGTAGTTAAACAAAACAAAATGGCAGATATGGACGGACCTGTAACAAAGACAGCTTCTGAAAGCCTAGTACACTGCTCTTATTGTACAAAACAACTGATTTTTGTTCTGAATTTAACAAAAACAGAAGATGTAGCAGAATTAATTTCACCCCCATAAGCAGCAAGCCCCGACAGCAAACAATACGAGTCTACATGTTTTATGAGATATTACAGTATTCTGTTAGTTTACTGCAGCAGTTCATCAGCTTGGATGGAGAACATCGCGTTGAGCTCCACCTTTGTAGCCTTAGCTTATCCTGTGTATTTTCCTTGTTATGCTTAGGATGGACAGGAACATGGCAGCAATACACTGTAGGTAGATCAAAAGTCTGTATGTCTCTGAAATGTGCGGTTGGAAGTCCATTAAAGTATTTTGAGATGAGGTGAATCCACACCAATGGGGCTGTTCTTGTTGAGACTTGAAGGACCGTCTCAGATGGGTCTCCTCTGGGTTATGAGGGAGCGAAGTCCCAGCACTTTCCAGGTTAGCCCCTGCAGGGCAAGCCCAATCAACACCTCCTTGCTCCCCCCACTTCCTCAAGAGAGGAAAAAAGGACGGTGCTTTGCTGGAAGAGTTTGGCTAGGGAGGGAAATCCCCCACCCTCTGTCTAGGCTAGTCTGCCCTTTCTATGCTTAACACTCATGCCTACGAAGAGAGACTACGACAAAGAGCTGGATGGTACACAGGATGGGCCTGACATGGCACCAGTTTTAGAGCGTCTCTAGTTCTGGTTTAGTGCTCATCAGTATCAACAGTTCATTTGAGTCCCATCAATCATTTACAGCACCGATGATTCTTCTTCGATGTCCCGAAGGGGTCTCGGTGGCGGCGATTTGGTAACGCTTACGTTCAAAAACGAGGTCCACGACTATAAAGACAAAGTGGCTCTGCCCGCCCCAAGGCAGAGCCACTTATACAGCAGAGCCAGTGCTGTGGCTACAGCTCTGCTGCTGGTGCTGTGGCACTGGGGTCGCCTGGACGTTCTGATTATCCAAAAGCACATCTGTCGGGATGCGGGACTGGAACTTCTCCAGCTGCTCCGGACTGGCCAGGTTCTTAAGCAGGTAGTTCTCTCTCTCAAGCTGGTTGTTCTTCTCTGCTAGCTCCTTTATCTGCTCTTTGAGGATTTCCACCTCCTCACGCACCGCGTACATCAAGTGGTTCTTGACAAGATCCTGTCATTCGAAAAACAAGAGATGGATCAGACTCAGAATAGGCATGGAAAAGAAAATCTTGCAAGACGAATTAGTTTATCACAGAACTGATGCATGCATTTGGTTTATCTGATTTTCTCCTCAGTTTTTCTGAAGGGTATCATTACAATTAAGTTTCCATATTATGAACCATGTCACTTCTAAGTATTGTTTTTTTTCCTTCCCAGGACTTGTTTTCACCTCTGAGACGGGAGGAAAAACATGTCTGTACTTGTTGCTCACATCAGGGGATTCCCACTACTTTTATCCATAATTAGTTTTAGATATTATTTCTTGCAGATGCCAGTGATTCTAAATGTCCCAAATAATCATTCTAGGAAAAAGGTCACAAGCTTATTTACAGGGATAAACAGTGATGAATGAATTCTCTGTTTACACATTATGTCGAGGTCAGACTGATTGCACTGTCATGCTGTGTCCTGTATAGCCCAGCCATTATAGGTTGCCCTAAAAGATGCATGAGTCTCCTGTATAACCTTTCTGCATGCATTAGCATTGTGTTTGGTGTTCATTGTCTGCTTACCATGGCCTGCTCGATCTTGTTGTCAATGGCCACCACGCTAGCACCAGAGGCACTGCAAACAACAAGAGAGAGTCGTAAATTTACAGCTCATAAAACACACCGATAACTTCACACGCACTGTTCCTTCCTGACGTCACACCTCTGACACAGGGAAATAAAAAAGCTCCCAGAACAAAAAGGGAAAGAGATCATCACCCTGCTGTAATCTGAGATGGCTTTTGTTAAGCGCGAACTGCGCGGACAAGTTTGCGACTCTTTTCAGATCGAGTACAATCTAATAAGAGTCACTGCATCGTTATCGGCGCCAGCTGATGACACGCAAATAGTGGCGAGGTTGATCTTTCAGAGAGTTTGTAACAGTAAACAGTAACAGCGGGCGGCTCGGGGGTTACAGTAAACTCGCGTCGGTTCAGTTTCATTCAAGCGCCAATCGACAAAATGTACCTGTTGTCAAGTTTGACCGAAACGACGTCTCCTCCGAGCAGCGAGGAGAAGAAAGAGATGGAGAAGTTGTGAAGCTGGTAGACTGCCACCTCCATCGGAGTCTTAGCGAACATCTCCGTGCTCATGTTGAGGACCACACTCGTTTGGATGATGCTTCTCGCCACGATTGCGACTTGGTCGGTCACCGAAGTGAGTCAATAAGTGAGGATCCGGTTGGGAGGATTCGGTTTGTTTGGTTCGTCGAGTAAGTAGCGCTGCACTGACTCCTCTTGCTCTCTATGAAGCCTTAGAGCTCAGTGCTGTGTCAGGGTTATATGTCAAGCTTCGCCGGTTTGTTCGAGCGACTGTCTGTTGCTATTTCTGCCCCCAGCCTGTATTTGTAAGACTGGTTTCGTGACGCAAGCATAAATTATGCAAATGAGCTTTAGGGCTGGAGGGAGTGGAGAGGAGGAGGCAGAGCTTCTGTTGCCTTCCAGGACTATCAGAAGAAAGAAATCACTAATGAGCCATATTTTTGGGTTCTGATAAATACACCCCCCTCCTCTGCTTTTACATAATGCAACAGGGTACACTTTGTTCTGTACGGTCCATCAAGTGTCTAATTCACCCCGATATCTTTTGATATGTATATAAGCTGTTTTATGAGGATCTGTTCACAGTAATTTTCCTTCTCATGATTGCTTAAAATGGAACAGGAACAAACCGATCACACATGATTAAGTGTGAAATGGTTCAGCGTTACAGAAAGGTACTTTATAAACATTTTTCACATTGGATAGTGGATATCCGGTGTATGTTTTATTTGTACTCAGAAACTTTTCAGATGTTCTTGAGAGCCAAATAACACAAGCATAATCCACTGCGATTTTAAAGTGTAATCAATGCATTATCATATTTTTATGCAACACTTCAGTTCTTACACAGAGCAACTGCTTTCACTGAAAGACGAAGCAACCTCCTGGAGAACGACTCCTAACATGAGGCTTTGAACGCAGCATCGCAAGTGCCCCGCTGCTGAACTTCAGTTCTTTTTCAAATGCAGATGCGTGCATTTAACCCACAGACCGAGATGTGCTCCACTTCTAACCAGCCTAAAATAACAAAATGAACTTTTGAATACGCGTCAACAATGTGCTGCCTTTGTAAACAAATGCTTGATTTGATCAAATGTCCCATGCGCTGCACATTCGTCTTAATGAAATCTAATTCTCACGTGAATTGGACAATAAAATAGGGTATTTGTTAGAAATCCTTTTATGTTTTATTTTTATTAGATTTCCACTGATTTGCTCATGTGAGCTTCTTGTCACGGTGTTATTGATTCGCTGTGTGCAGAAATTGTTGTCGTCAGTGTGATTCCGTGATAACTTGGCATAGCAATGACAACATGTTGTCCCCAGGCCTTGACCTACAAATTGTTTATCAAAAAGATCTTTGGTGTGTTCTGCACCATCCAAGCACGTGCACACCTACACTTTATTTATGTATTTTTCCATATAGTTTGGTAAATTTCCTCAGTTTAAGTCTGAACTCGATCGCCCTCTAGTGGTGAGAAAGTAAGTTACACTATACGCTATAATGTACATAACACAGCCTTCTTTTTTCCATGTGGGTTTTTTCCAGTCATCCTTTGGCACCCAGTTTCAACTTGCTTTTCCTTCCTCGATTTTTAGAGCTCTTAATACATTTACCTTATAATGTCTATATGTCACACTGCTGGAATTATATTTCTAAAGAGCACAACAAAAATGTCAGGGATATTTTAGTGATGTAAATAAAGGTTATTATGTCTGCAACAATCACCTCTATAACGGTGCAAACTATAAATAATCACTCAACAAGCCTTGCTCCCTGTTGCATGACCTTCTGCACTTCTGGTAGCATTTTGAACTTGTTACCACATGTGACGCAATTGCACCAAGTCTCCTCCAAACTGTAATAAACAGATTGTGGGCAGCAGTACATGCTGATATAGCACACGAAATGTCAACATATTTTTTTTTTCCACTGAGCAACACCTGAATGTGTTGTTAAATGTGTTTATGATCTCTGCAAAGTTTAACAGATTTTATGTCATAGCCTACAACTACTCAGCTGTGTACGCTTTTGTTGGTGTACTTTAGTGATACTGTATCAATTATGAGCCGGAAATATTTTTTGGAACACCTCTGGGCAAAACATTTTGTTCTACTACACAAGGAAGAACATTCGAAGTTATTCAGTAACTTCCGTGGAATTTTTCCTCTGAACTCTGAGAGCCTTTCATTTTTACTCTTTCATATCTAATCGAATATAATCGGGTACTTTTTAATACAATTATTTGATATTTTGTTAAATGAATCAGTAGTAAAGCCCATACAGTCAGAGGAAAATGACTACATTTACAGAAATATGTATACCCTTTTAACTTATAGGTAAAGAATGGAAAGAAAAAAAACTTTGTTTTTAAATTTTGTCAGCAAAAACAATTCCGAAAGATGTGTTGTTTTATTTATTCCGCCTCCCGAATCAATATTTTGGCTCAAATTACAGCTGCAGGAACTCTACACAACAAGAAGCACACATCTTTGTGCCGTTCTCTTTTCAAAATACTTCAAACTTATTCAAGGTCTGGACTTTGACTGGGCCATTTTAGGGCATAACTATGTTTTGTCCAAAATCCTCATCACATGTAATCCTGTCTGTATGTTTAACTCCATTTATCTTCCCATCTACTCTGAACAGTTTCCCTGTCCTGTTGAAGACAATTATCACCATAGTTTGATGCTGCTGCCACTACCATAGATAACAAGGTCGGTGTGTTCAGGATGATACTGTTTTTTTAATTTTTTTTTTCAAGCACACATAACATTTTGCATGCTTTCTAGCAAGTTTTGGTCTTCTCAATCCACCTTATTTAAAATGTTCATCATTTTATCATTACAAACTGTGATTGGCCAGAAGCACAAGCACTAACTTGAGATTGAGTTCTACTTTGTAGACAACTGCAAACTTTAACACTGTTCCATAATGGACAGATTGTCAAATTATGCAACTATTGGATGACATATCACTAAATTCTGCCATCTGAGCAACAGATTTCTGCTACTCCTCCAGAATTATTGTGGACCTCCTTGTTGCTTCTCTGATTAATACTCTCCTCTCTTCAACTCCCATGCTAGTTTGCTGTGCTCCTTGTTTTTTCTGACGTTGTTTGGTCACTGACATTGCACAAAACACCTGTGTGGCCTTCACGGAACAGCTGTATTTCTGCCAAGAAAAATCTACAAACACATTGATTCTATTACTACTTGGATGACCTTGTAAAGCGGCTGACTGCACTAGATTTTATTTAACTGGAACAAAATGAAAGCAATGAAAAGGAATGCACAGAACACTTTTCAGATTATTATTTGTGAAAAACATATTTAATAATTTATGTCACTTGTACTTTAGGATTGTGATCTACTTTGTTTTGGGAAAAAAACAAATATGTTTAATTCAAGTGTGTGGGTGTAAGATGATAAAATTATGAAAAATGTGAACGGCATGAATGTGTGTAGAAATTCTTTTTGGCAGGAGTCGCACTTCTAGCTAGGCTGAAATTCAGTCTTCAAAACATTTCTTATATGTACTTTGGTGATCAAAAAGATGAATGCATAGACTTATTTTTTTTGCTTTGCCTCCTTTCACTCTAAGTTTCAGAAAAATAGTGAAACAAATCTTGACAACAATATGTTTTTCACTGCATAAACAACTTCATTTAGCTTGCCAGCAGCCTGTTTCTAAACAGTTTTATGCGCCACATAGACATAATTTTGTTCCTTCTTAGCTGAAGTGGCTCATATTTCTGATAAACCATTGGTGCCTGATCACATTTGATGCATGCCAGTATCATTCAGTGAGTCACATTACAGCCAGACCACGGTTTCCATCAGATGTCCAGAGTTCCAAAGCCAAACATGTTATAAAATATTGTTCATATGCAATAAAGGCTGAAGAAGAAAGAGGGCGAGTCATGCTGCCAACTGTTAAGCTCTTGCCACAAGCAACATTTCTGAGTTTTGACACACCAGTTTCAAGATGTACGCATCAGTAACTGCCAGAAACGCAAACTGTTAAGTCAACAGAAGATGTAAGCAAATAAACAAAAACAGGCACATTGTTTTGAGCTTGTTTTTCTGGTCATCTTCCTCTCGTTTTCCATAAGTTTGTAATGTATGCCGTAGTGAAAGTGTGGTCCAACAATGTGGATAATCGCCACAGGCTGCAGCCAGAGGCTATCTCAAAGGAAGCCGATCTCAAAGGAAGCTGTCTATGTGGGCAACAACACTAGCTACAAACACTGAATACTAAATGGTCTCCATAAACCAGCACACCCACAGGCAGTCATTACCACGTCTCCTTCAGTCTCCTGAGCAACAAATAACAAGAAGGTTTGCAATTTTAACATTTCTAATGAGATGTATTATTAAATTTAGCAAACTGTCAATATCTGTCATTTCTTCGGAAATATCCTCTCTAGCAAAATGTTGCGCAGAAGATACAGAATATCTGATGAGATTTAACATGACAGGACTGGCATAGGAGTTCAGTGTCCTTTGCTACTAATGTTACATAGATAAACAG